CTTTATCCTGTTCTCTCTGACAGAAGGCAGTCAGTAGGTCTAGCTTATATCCAAGGGGAAGGGATTTCACACAAGCATGAACTCCAGGAGGCAGGAATCTTGGGGAGACATCTTAGGAGTGGCTCCCTTCGACCTCAGTCCCCTTTGATCCTACCAGCTCTGGAAACTAGTAATTCATGGTTTCAAGAATACGCTTCAAGTCAGCCCTGGACTATGAGTTTATGAAGCCAGGAACTGTTTCTTTACCCAAAAATCCTCAGCACCAGCACAGGACCTGGCCCACAGTAGGTGCTTATGGATTTCATTCATTCAACAAACACTTATTAATCACCTAATATGTGTCATGTCATGAACTGGGTGATAGAGACATGCCGTCTGCGACCCGCGTAGACAGCTAAACTAGAGGTTGCTTGAGTGAAAGTCCTACGGCATCAGAATAAAAAACAAGACACACAGTTCACCTTTAAATCAAGCTCCTGGAAGGCTCCTTTGCCCTTGGCCTCAAGCTCCCCAAATGGGAGAGTGAAGAATCTCATGAGAGGCTAGCGAGAGATCAAGCACATTTCGGAGTGAACTTTTATAGGGGGGACTCTAGATTTTTTAGAAATTTACATCCACTGAAGGTCAAGGGGGGCAGGGTTACAAGGACAGATGAGATAACTCAATCCCTGGGGATGTGAGAAGGCACACCCATGCACGAAGACACATTTGCGTTTTCTCAACCCTAAAGATTGGGGCTACTGTCTTTGGTTACCTAAGCAACCAGATCACAGGGTGACCGACTGTGCCACACTGATCAAAAGGGGAGGCAAACGCTGGTCACATGCTATGTCGGCCCCCCACAGGGACATACTGTAATCAAGATAGATGTTAAGTTTCATTCTGGCAAGGAAAGACATTCAACAAATGAGCAAACCGATAGATGAATAAGATAGTATCACACAGAGAGAAGAAATCAATGTATCAAACTGGGAAAAAGTACTTATCACCTATATTATACACATTGTTTTAACAATCTTCCTTGAGGAGTTATAACAAATCAGATAAATATGCCAACATATTTGTTTTCAGTAAAAATTTGAGAGGAACAAAATAGGTTCAGTGTCACAAGTTGTCTAAGATCTGGAGATTAAAACACAATTAAAGCACAACTTAATTATTCTTTTAAAATTGCTGTTGTCATTTTTTAGTAATAATAGCCAGAGTTATCTGGGGAAACTGAGCTTTCTCACAGAAACAGAAGGAAGCAAATGTTGCTTTTGCTTTTCTGGAGGACCCTGTGACAAGATGTGTCCACATCCTAGAATGAGGGCATAGCTTTCTTGTATCCATATGACCACAGCATAAGAGTGTAGTGGTGAAATGAGCCTTCCTGGGAAGATGGAGGTGCAGGATGGGTCAGCCAAGTTCTCCAAGAGGTGAGGACTTCTGAGCTGAGCAGGAATTAATATGGCCCTACAGGGTCTGGGATGTGAAGTGCTGAAGGCAAAAATGAAAAGGTAGTGTCTTTCTGGATAAAGAAGCATCATGCACTAAGGCATAGAGTCTGGGGATGTGAGAAAGTGTGAGAAAGTCAGTGAGAGGGAGGATCTGGACAATGCCCCATATTCTTTTTGTCAGCTGGTTGGTGACAAAGTCATTGCCAAGAGACGAAAACAGGGAACACTCCTGCCTTGCTCATGTAGGAAAATCAGGGGGCTCCAAGACCTTTTGTGGCCACCGAATGAAGTAAATAACCTGGAGATCCATCTCTCCTACCCACTCCTCTTCAGTGCATTTCTTTAATCAGAGCCTCAGATATTGGAAGAGATCCTGGTGTCTATCCTCCATCTTCTGAATTATATTGAAAAATCAATGCCAAAATAGGACCATGAAAACAGCCATGTTTTTTTGCATGTTAACACTTAACAAATTAGTACTTTTATTGTATGCACACATGTATATGCATATTTTGATGACTGTGTACAACATGTTTGAGGTCACGAGAGTCAGATCCTAGCAAAGGGCTTACCTGCCCGCCTCCTCCAGAGCCTGACAACCCATGTCACCTCCAGGCCAGCTTCTGCTCTCAAGGGCAAGTGTCCTTCATTTCCCTATTAGGAAAGAGTGTTTCCCTGGTGGCATTAAGAGCTACAGGTTGCCTCTTTTTTCCTTCCTCCTTCTCCCATGCATGTGCTGAGAGATTCAAGTGTCATCAGGCAGGCAAAGAAGTATGTCTGATGTCATCTTTTAAAGAAATGAAATGAATTTAGCTGCTTACTGGCTAGAGTCTGTTAATTTTTTCTTTGATCTTGACCTGATAGCAGTTTTGTAATGTTTTATAGGACAATTTGGACTCCTTGGAGATTTTTGTAGATTTCATATATATATGAAAT